TAGAAAGATATCTTTGTTTTCTCTAGTTTCTCTAGATGGGACTCCTGGTCTCAATTCATAACATGGTTTAATTTTAGTGCCTCAAAACCTTCACTGTCCAGTACCATTAAAATTTCTTTTTAATTTGATTACAATTAAAAATAGTTTCCTTACTACAAAAGCAATGCTTATTTACTGTTAAAAAATGGATAATAAAGGAAAGAAAAAAAACACAAAACAGAAATTTTTAAAAAAATTTATCTACAATCATGCACCCAGGTAATCATGAACATCTTGTTAATCCCCCCTGGCAATGTAGAATAGCCAAAGTTAGATTTTTAAATGGGTTAATTTTGGAGCACCTGAGTAGCTCAGCTGGTTAAGCATCCAACTCTTGATTTTGGCTCAGGTCATGATCTCCAGGTCGTAAGATAGAACCACACATTGGGGTTCTCACTCAATTATGAGTCTGCTTGAGATTCTCTCTCTCCATCTGCCCCTCTTCCTCGCTCTCTCTCTTTTTCTTTCTCAAATAAATAAATCTTCAAAAAATAAAATGGCTTAGTTTCTTACATACTGTTTCATTATATTTCACATAATATATTACTTAGATATTTTCACATCATTGTTCATCTGTAAGTCAGTATGATATTTCTATTATGTAAAAGGATACATCATAATTTATTGATAGGGGGGACAGGGAATTGAAAGAAGCGGGGTAGAAGGCACAAAATTCCAGGTATAAGATAAGTAAGCACTGAGGATGTCATGGACAGCACGGTGGCTGTAGCTGACAGACACTGCTGTGTGGTGTGGAGGGAAGTTGTGAAGAAATGAGAGTTCTCATCACAAGGAAAAAAATATTTTCTTTCTTTCTTCTTTCTTTTCTTTCTTCTTTCTTCTTTCTTTCTTTCTTTCTTTCTTTCTTTCTTTCTTTCTTTCTTTCTTTCTTTCTTATGAGATGGATGTTCACTAAACTTCTTATGATTAGCGTTTCACAATAAATGTTAAGTCCATACCCTAAACTTGCACAGTATTGTATATCAATTATATCTCAATAACACTGGGAAATGAATATGTAAAATAACTTCCTGAATCAAAGCCTTATTTTTAGATTTTGAATTCTCATTCTCCTTGCCATTCCTTTTTTCCTTCCTTCCTTCCTTTTTTCTTTTTTTCTTAAACCAGTGTAAGTAACTGTGCAATGAACATTCTTTTACATAGATCTTTTACATAGATCTGATTATTATATTAGAATCAATGCCTACAAGTTGTTTGCCAGTTATATCCCAAGAGCACGGTGTACACATCCCTCCTCTTTTTCTTCCCTCCTGATTTGTGAAAATTTTTGTTTGTGTGAGGATCTTATTCCAGTTTCTGTCATTTTTGCTGCATTTTTGCCTGTCTGCTATCTGTCTTTAACCTTTTAAATAATGTTTAGGGAGACTGTGTGGGGTTGGGACAGATGGGATTGGCTATATTTACCACCAGGTAGCTATGTGACCTCACACAAGTCACTTAGGTCTCATATGCTTTTTTATATGCAAAACTTGATAATTATTTTATAGGGTTGTTAATAGCATCAAATGAGTTTGAATATGTACCACAGTGCCTGGTATTTGGCGAACATTTGATAAGTGGTAATTATTTTTTAAATATTTTATTTACTTATTTGAGAGAGAGAGAGAGAGCATACATGCACACATGTGCACACAGGTAGGGGAAGAAACAGAGGGGGAGAATACAAAGCAGACTTGGGACCCTGCTGATCAGGACCCTGAGATCATAATTTGAGCAGAAACCAAGAGTCAGATGCTCAACAGACTGAGCTACCCAGGTGCCCCAATAAATGTTAATTATTATTATAATTCCCAGGAAGTTTGAATTTTTGGGTAGTCATATTAATTTTTTCTTTAGCCACAGGTGTTATATTTAGAAGTTATCCTAAGGCTACATGAATATTCACCTGTATTTTCTTCTGGAAAATTCTAGAACTTCTATGGTTTTTTTTTAGTATTTTACATTTACAATCTTTAGTATATATGGGATATATTTTGTGGTTTATTATGAAGTGATCATCTGATTACATATTTTTTCCTTATATGATTAATCACTTTTCCCAACATTTATTATTTATTTATTTATTTATTTATTTATTTATTTATTTATTTATGATAGTCACAGAGAGAGAGAGAGAGAGAGGCAGAGACACAGGCAGAGGGAGAGGCAGGCTCCACGCACCGGGAGCCCGACGTGGGATTCGATCCCGGGTCTCCAGGATCGCGCCCTGGGCCAAAGGCAGGCGCCAAACCGCTGCGCCACCCAGGGATCCCACTTTTCCCAACATTTAATGAATGAACTATACTTACAGATTCGGAGTGCTACTTTTATTATATACAAACTCCCATACACACATGAACTAATTTTTGCTTCTTCTCATGGATGTATCTAACTAGTTCTGCGTCAACTACTGCTTTGTTTTATTTATTGCAGCTTTAGAATATGTGTTACTATCTGACAGGGGTAAAAAGGTCAGCTTATAATGATATTTTCCAAAGCTTCTAAGATATTCTTGTATATCAGTATTTTTACATGAACTCTAAACTTGTAAACAGATGCTTAAATAACCATACATAGCATTAAAAATAGCTTAATTTGATGGAGAATACCTTCTACAGAACCATAGTCCCATGCAGAAACACAGCATATCCCTCTGTTCATGTTCTTAAATAAAACTACCTCAGGAAAACCCCATAGTTATCTTAATATTAATAATGAATATTGCATAGTAAGGTTATTTCTAGGTATTTCACTTTTTTTTGCTCTTTGAATGCTATCTCTTTGACCATTGTGGTTACTGCTCTTATGTAGAAACGTATTTTTTAGAAATTGCTATTGTCACAAGCCTCCTTACTAACTTATCTGCTCTTAAAATTTCAAGCTGATTTTGTGTCAACTGTACTTCAATTTTAAAAATTTAAGCTGATTTTTAAAAAATTTTCAAGGATACAATCACATTATTTGCAAATATAATGATTTAATCTCTTAGTATCTAATATTTGTAACTCATTTTTTCTTATCTGAATTCATTGGTAGGACATTTAAAACACTGTTAATGACATCCACTATGCCAGATGCCTCACGCTCTCTGTCTTTGCAGAAAATGTCCTGTCTGCAATGGGAGGGCGGTATTGGCTCTCTTCCCAGTGCTGCCTTCCTTAACGCTTGTCTTCCAATGTGCTCTTCCATGTACCCTCGTCAGCAGAAACGGAACAGGACCAAGCTCATCATTTCCTTCTCCACACTGACAATATTTTTCTCAGTGACTAGCAGCTATTTCAGTCAAAGACGGTATATGTTCTAGATTTTTCAATAGTTCATTTTAGGGAAAAAGTGGTTGCTTTCATTTATGTTGTTTTCTGTTACCTTTGAAGAGGAAAGGCTGATGACGTGTTGATCTTTCTCATTCATCACGATCTCCATGATGCTGAACATGTGCCCTACTAGTTTCCCCACTGGCTTGGTGCTGATGTTGGGATGCCACAGCCGGAGCACCTTGTCATCTCCTGAAAAGGAGGACATGAGGGGATTATTCGTTTTCTCAGGGAGCAGCTGGTCAAAGTTTAAAGAGTTCCTTTCACTCCCTCATATCCTTATCACTCTTCTAATATCAAACTACAGCTTCTTCCAGGATGCCCTCTGTGATTATGAAGAGGCTAGGCTTGCTTTGGAGCTGCTTCCTCTAGTCAAGGCTGTTTGGGAATAATTGTATTTACACACACAAATGTGAATTCTTATAAATATTTTATGAGTCCATTTCTTGATTCAGTATTTCCCACTCATTCATGCATTAATGTATTATTTATACTTTATTTACTTCTCAAAGTATCTTAGACAGCTGTTCTTTTGTTTTCACACTCAGAGGAAGAGGAAAATTGCCCATAATCTCTACCATTATAACAAAACAACTGTTTCCCTGTCTCCATCTTTCCTTCTAGCACGTACCCATAAGCATATATGATTTACATGTAGTTACTGTCATAACACACATACTATTTTTTAATTGTTAAAATCATATGGGTACACCGTAAAATGTTTAAACAATACAGAAGGGTATAATTTTTGTCAAAAATGTCTTCTTTCCCCTCAGAATCCCTACTTCCACTCCCTATAGGTAATTGCTGTTAACTTTCCCCCTTTTCCTCTTTCTTACAAATAAACTTTTTATTGTCAGAGTTAAAAAAAACACTTTTCCATTCATATTTAAATACTTCGAATATTTTCAGTAGGTATTTGGATTACCATTTCTCAACAACAACAAAATCACTATCACTAACTGTTATTTTTGATATACGCATTAAATTATATTATAAATGTTGCTAAAATACAAAATCATTGTTCTTGAAAATTTTTTTAAATTTTTACTTATTAATGATAGTCACAGAGAGAGAAAGAGAGAGAGGCAGAGACATAGGCAGAGGGAGAGGCAGGCTCCATGCACCGGGAGCCCGACGTGGGATTCGATCCCGGGTCTCCAGGATCGCGCCCTGAGCCAAAGGCAGGCGCCAAACCGCTGCGCCACCCAGGGATCCCAAAATCATTGTTCTTAAAAGGTTTTTTTTTTTAAGATTTCATTTATTTATTTGACAGAGAGAGAGAGAGCACAAGTAGAGGGAGCAGCAGATGAAGAGGGAGAAGTAGATACCCTGCTGAGCAGAGCCCAGACAGCCCTGGATCCCAGGACTCTGGAATTATGACCTGAACCAGTCAGATGCTTAACTGACTGAGCCACCCAGGCACCCCTTAGAAGGTATTTTTACCAAGAAATCACAGCATGCTATTTTGAGCAGAGAGAGACACATCAAACCAAAATTTTATAGAATGGGTTTGTCACTTTGTTATCCTATATGGGGATTGCAAGGCAAGTCACTTTGGGTTTTATCCAGTTTTATTGAGGTATAATTGATATACAACATTGTGTGAGTTTAAGGTGTGCAACATGATTATTTGATAGAAGTGTAGTGCTCGCTTCAGCAGCACATATACTAAAATTGAAATGATACAAAGAAGATTAGCATGGCCCCTGCACAAGGAGGGTATAAGTATATATTGTGAGGTGATTACTACAGTAAGGTTAGGTAACACATGCATCACCTCAGGGTTATCTTTTTTCTTATCATGAGAACTTGTAATATTTGCTTTCTTCATAACTTTCAATTATAAATACTATGCGTACATTACATTCCCTAGAACTTGTCTTCTAACTAGAAATTTGTACCATTTTTAAAATACAAATTTTCAATATCCAATATAATTAAAATAATAAAATATAATTAATATACATGCCCACCATTTTTTTGGAATTTTGGAGGATCACAGGCCCATACCTTCATAATTATCATTTTGGTTGCTACATCAAAATCTCCTACCATTTGTCTATCGATAAATGTTCTTGCTAATTCTAGTTTTTCACTTTATTTAGCAACACTGCAATAAATAGTTATTTGTGGGTTTTTTAATCTTTTGGACATATACACTGAGGATAAATTCTCATATTGTTAGATTGCTTCCTAAAATGGTCGTACCTTTTTCTTTCTCCTCTTTGAGTATTCCAATCCATTCTTTAAATTGTAACATGACTGTACCTCCAAGAATATTTCAGATTGTCTTCATATTCTTTAAAACCAAGTGCCACTGCCTATGTGCCCCCTGTCCCTGGCATCTTTTATAATTATTCAATTTTCTGTACTACCCACTTAAAAGCAGAACTTCTTTTTTATTATGCTATCTCAAGTGTGTAACCCACAGTAGGAGTTTAGATATTTATTGAAAGTTCACAACTTGGGATGCTGAATCCTAGCTCAGAGGTTTAACTATCTAGTGGCACAATAGTGGGAAAACATGTACCCAAACAAAAACAAATCTTTGTTGAATGTTTACCTGACTCCTTAATAAAGGTCAGCTGTTTCATTCCAGAGATCCTCAGGGCCTGGAGTCTTAGTAGAAGCAGGCTGAAAAATCTCAGGGCATATCTCTCTCTTACTTTCCATTTCTCTGGCAATTGGTATGGATTGAATTGTTTCCCCAAAATCGTATGTTGAAGCTCTGACCCCTAATGTGATGGTATTTGGAATGAGGCCTTTGGAAGATAATTAGAGTTAAATGAAATTATGAGAGTTGTGCTCTAATGATGAGATTAGTGTACTTATAAGAAGAGACCAGAGAATTTGCTCACTCTCTCTCCCTGGGGGGATATAGTGAGAAAACAGCCATCTGCAGGCCCGCTAGAGAGCTCTCACTGGACACTGACCATGCTGGCACTTTGATCTTGGACTTCCAACCTCTAAAACTGTAAGAAAATAAATTTCTGTTATTTAAACCCTCTAGCCTATGGTATTTTGTTATGGCAATCTAAGCTAACCAAGACAACCAAGATATTTTAAGAACTATTGTCAGTGAATAAGTGGGATATTCTTTCTTTCTTTCTTTCTTTCTTTCTTTCTTTCTTTCTTTCTTCTTTCTTTCTCTCTCTCAAGATATTTTCTTCAATTTAAAACTTCTATGTTATCCTTACTAACAAGAAGAAAAATATCTTGAGAAATTACTGTACACTTGGCATTTTGCTAGATGTTGAAGGTACAAAGCAATTCTAGATACTGACCCTATTGAAAGTCTTTTTCAGAAGACCAAAACTTATACTATTCCAGACTTAGTTCCAGCATTTCCTTCCTAATGCTGTCCCTGATCACTGTCCCCAGCCTCAGGTGGGGTTAAGGCTTCTTCCCATTCTGAGAGTGTTTTCTTCAGATTTTGTTTATAGCCTGAACTCTATTCAATTATAGTTGTTTGCATAATTATCTGATTGCCCACTATCTGGTGAGCTTTATATTTCTCATCTACAGCAGTGATTGACAAATAGTAAGTGCTTAGTACATGTTTGTTAAGTAAATAAGTTGGCTAATAGAGTCACTCATGAAGTGCTTTAAAAATCCTTATTTTGGGAAAGTCTACCTTGATTTTAAACCTGGCTCTATCACTCACTAGCCTTATGGCTTTAAGTAAGTGACCTCATCCCTCTGTGTTTGGGTTTCCTTATCTGTATATATGATGGGGATGACTGGAGCTCATGTCATACCCTTATTGTGAGATTAAATGGAGTCATCCATGGATAATCTGAGCAGTTCCTGGACCTCGAGCTGACTATTCCTACTCTGCTCTTCTTCTTCAAAGTCCCTGCCATGTGCAACACATTTTATAAAATGTCTGGGGGAGAGAGAGAGGAACTGATAAAAAGATGTGTGAAACATGGGTCCTGCTCTCAGGCATTTGTAATCTAGTGGTAGCACTAAGACAAGCATAAAAGATACAGAGGGAAAGTAAGCAGTCACAGACAATATTTCAAATCTGAAGGTAGGACTTAATACTATGCATGATATGCTATGGTTCATAAGGAGTTAATTCCTTATTGCTTTGTTATTTTCCATTTATTTTAGTTTCTCTCTTTCTCTCTCTCTTTTTTAACCAGGATTTAGATAAGGCCACATATAAAGATAGGATTTTCTTTCCTTATCCCAGCTGGTGAGTCAGTGGATCCAAATGCCTCACTCTTGATGAGATGAGCTGACTCAGTGCAGAGAGAAAAGCAAGAGGGAGAGAGACTGTGTGAACCAGATTACAGTGGTCCTGGGGGTCTGGGCAGGGGGGTCCCCGGGAAGAGCAACGGGCTGGGAACAAAGAGAAAAGACTGGAACTCAGTTCTCCTAGCTCACTAGTCACATGATGAGTTGAGGCAAATCATTCTCTTTCCTGGAGCCTCAATTTCCTTATCTGTAAAATTTTGATCTCCCAAGATTCCTTCCAACTCTAAAGTTTTATGATTGTGTGCTGTGGGGGGGCGAGGTTACTCTGGAATTATAAAGGTCATGAGAGAAACTCCAGATTATCAGTTACATGATTCATACTGAAGAATTCTGATAATGCAGTATCTTGCCTGTATTTGCTTTCCATTGGCAATGACTGAGAGGTCTTACCTTACTCCAGTATGTTCAGAACCAGAGACTCCAGCCTACAGGTGGTTGGCCAGATCGTCTCCTAAAATGGACCTTATCACTCCTGGAAGATGAAGTTAGGCTATCCCCAGAGGAAAACCTGTGACTTGCATGCCACAAGAAGAAAGATACAATAGAAGATTGCCACTTGAGAAATGCGGCAAAGAGCTTTGTCCAGTGTGCATTATGAAGGAAACCAGTTTTACAGAGGGTTCCTCTTGTTTGTGACCAGAGGTTGTCCAGTGCTGCTTATTTTCCATTGATAACAATGGAATCCTCATATAGTCTGGGTGGTGGCTTTTTGGAGCCAGAATGATCAGAAAGGGACATGATACTAAGCTCTAAATACCTATAATATTTTATCTGTATTGTTAGTATTATGATTATGAATCTGTTGACTCATGCTCCATGTTTTATTGTAGCTGTGTATTAGCATGTCTTATTTGTACCATTAAATTTTGAATTCTTGAAGGTTAAAATACAACCTGATCTCTAGAATTCATGATGCCTCATCTGTAGCAGTTGTGCAAAAAATATTTGTTGAATAAAACATTAACAGATGTATGCAGAGCTCCCAAGTCATCTTGGGTGGCAGAGAATTGTTTGTATACACTGGACCTTCCAAAGTAGGAGTTTAACTCTTAAAATGCCCAATAGAGACAACTATGAGTGAAAAACAAATTCTTGATGGTTACCAAAATAAGGCTCAGGAAATTTGCAATTTTGTTTTGTTTTGTTTTGTTTTTGTAAGTACCTTGTCCTGGTTTGGCTTTTTCTACCCGCCCTGCAAGAACTTCTGTGTTTTCAAGCTCATCAAATGTCCCTGCATATTTCACACATTCAACTACGCCTAACAAAGTTGCTTTCATAGTATATTTTGAGTCATCAGCTGGTACATACAGTACATTTAGCAATGGGCTTGGCTGAGTCACTAATCAACAAGAGTATTCTCCTGAGGAAAACGTGTTTTTAGTCACTGAAGAATTGCATTTTCTACTAATAGAGGCTCTGTAACTGTGACAATTTAATACTTTTTGCATCTTGAAAAAGTATTAGTTGCTTGTTAGTCATACTGCAAATGTTTTGTTTTGTAAGAGAGCTAGAAAAATAAAATTTCAAGCTGTAGCTGGCTAGCTTACACTATAATGACCACTGAGGTTGATGAGGGTCAAATATCTTAATCTATATACACTAAAATGGTTTGAGTCCCAGAACTTTACCATAGACATGTTTTTTTCTCAGAAATGATTAAAATGCTTACGATTACAAAATATATGAAAGCCAGTCAATTCTTATGTTTTGCATTATTAATGTGTGAGGACAAAGGGCTATTCAAAGGACTTGGTTGGGATTAATGTCACAACTTGTCTTCAGATTTTAGAAATCAGATGTCACTTTAACTGTGCCCTTTTGCTTTTTCAGAGGGTTTCCTGTGGAGGGTTTGAGTTGAAGGAGGATAGAAGGCCACTATTTTCACAGAACTGAAGACCTGCCCTGCTGGGGGCAGCATCCATTGCAATTAGATTCTAGGGCAGGTTTGCTGTTTCCTCTCACAACCACTGTGCTCTTTCCCTCATTCCTGGAGCAACCCCACCTCCTCCTGAAGAGTGGTCCAGGCCTTTTCTCTCACAAGGAATAAACCATGACTGTCATCAACTATGCAAAGGGCAATGGGTATCAAGAAATTGTAATACAAGCACACCATTTCTTTTTCTGAAAACATGTAATTTTAGTATTTGTTTCCTTATGTGTTATAGACCTCAGTGTGGAGCTCTTTAAAAGATAATCTCAAATAGCACAGCTTACAGATGTGGATCCCTGTTCGTTCTTAGAACCATCACTACCAGACACCAGGAAACTTGCTCCCAGTCCAAGCCATGACTCCTACATACTGCTCTGCAGACTTCTAACTCAAATGCCTTGCTTTCTTTCCTTGATGTCTTTACTTGAAATTTAGAAGTTTTTGGACTATTAATGCCTCATTTTTCTGAGTACACAAAGCTCTGACTATATATTGAGTAACATCTAATTGGCAAACGGGATTCCAAATTTTCCAAAAGATATTTTAATTTATCTCCCAATG